GCAAATTTAACCCTCGGCCGCTGGTGGCTCTAGAAGACTTTAGGATACTGATTCTAAGAATAAAATATCAAATCATTTGCAGCTTCTCACTGACGAATGCAAACGTTACTTCCCTCACTCATGTGATAATAACATTTATAGTCTGACGACGGTTCCTTTTCAGGTTGACATAGATGTACTGTCAGAAACACTACAAGAGCAAGCTTTAGTAATTGAAAACGATTTTTCAGCCAAATATAACTGAGAAGGTGATTAAGCCATTATTTCGGATAAAATACACTACCCAACATTGAAAATGCTACACCAAGAAGGAGTGGCTAGAAAGTGATGAAACTCGGCAAACTGAGAGAGGCAGCAATGAACAATAAATGATCTTTATTTCGAAATGATATGCATAATACACAGCGAGAAAAGCGTCGGCTTAATAGATTGTAGGACCACCTTGGACAGCAGTTCAAGAAATAGTATATCTAGGTACAATATCGATAAACTATGCATGTCCTAAAGAAAGGCTCTCCATTACCTGTCCATCATTTGCCACAGTACATCTTCAGAACGTGGCAATGGCAGGCTCTGCAAATGGCTACCAACGTTGGCTGCACGTTGAACACGTTGCAGAACACTTTGGCTGATGCGACCAGTGTGTGGTCGGACGTTATCCTGTTGATAAAGAGCATTGGACACTCCTTGATAATAGGGAAGTGTCACCAGCTGCAGCACATCATCCACGTACCGTTGTGCCATGATGGTGCCCTGAATACGAACTAGAGGTGACCTGGAATCGTAGCAATTGCGCCCCAAACCATATACCGTGTTGTCGCGCGGTAGGGCGATCCACAACTACAGCCAGCTTGGACTGTCCGCACATCAACGCCACACTCGTTAGCAGAGACTATCATTGGAGAAACAAAAGTGTGACTCATCTGAGAACATGACCCTGTGACATTCCGTCGTCCACATCGCTCGAGCCGGGCACGATTGTAGACGTTGGAGTCTACGATGTAGGGTGAATGGCAGTCCTCTTAACGGAGGCCACGGGTGCAGACCAGTAACCACCATTCGATGGCAAATGGTTCTGGTTGATATGGGAACATCCAGGGTGTCTTGAACATAATGCAGAATGGAGGTAGAAGTGGCCTACGGATGCGCCACCGCTTGCTCACGTCATCACACGTGCTCAATCCACGCGTGATGACGTCACCCTGGCTGAATCGGCACCCCTCGAACTTGCAACATTTCTTTGTTCCATCCATTGTCGCCGTCGCTATAGCCGGTCTTCTGTGGATGCGTCCAGGTGTGTGTCAGCTGAGATTTGCGTATGGACTAACTTTCCCTTCTCAGTCCGATCACCATGCCTCTTGTAAAATCGTCGGTGTGCTGGAACTGCCTCCCTTGACGACGGCCTGGCATTCTCTGCTATTACAGGTGTCCTCTGAGACAAGAACACATTTTTCAGAATGATTTCCGTAGCAGAAATAACGGCAAGAAAACTGAGCATTTTACAAGTTCCTTTCCTTATATCTTCTTCAACGTGCGCTGAAGAGCTGCCCGTTTCGCATAATTCGCATAACTCGGTGACGTGCATCTAACCCTGAAATTTGCATAATTTTCGGGTCACTTCTTGGTGTTGCATTTTCAAAATCGGGCAGTGTATCTCTGAGTTCATACGGTTTTCATTCTTTTTTAACAAAACTTGCTACAAATGGTAAGAGCTCTTTACGAAGATAATCTTGATGCTTTTGACATGATATTAAAAGAAAACGCTTTTTAAAAGAATGTTCCATTGTTTTTCTAAACAAACAAGCATTGAAGAAATAATGCGATTTTTTTACGCCTTTATTTTTCAAAATTTAAGTAAACAAAGTTCTTTTTATTAGAAAATATATTGTCCTTCATCCTCAGCTAGTTCCTAAGAGTTAAGATGGGTTTTGATTCACCAAGGCTCGCAGAACGTGCTTGTCGAACTTTGCAGGTCTCCCAGGAAAACGCTCGTCTTCTAGGGTGTAGGCTGTAGTTTCGAGTTAGAATTTCTGGGAACACCGTTAACACTGACTTACGCTTATTGTCCGATCTCCGTATATTGCATAATTATTCCGATTAATAATTTAATTGGGCTCATAATGCCAAATATGGTTTTTTGTCACTTACTTCCATAGCTCTGAAAAAAATAAGTGTTAAAAATCGAACTCTTCAAAACTCGCATTAAGAATAAGGTAAAATTACTACCAGAAAGTTGATGCAGGTATTTTATTACGCCTCCGTGCTACTTTTAATTCAGTTGAAAAACATATCACTAATGGAATGTTTCAATACTTACTTGTTTAGTAAGCTGAAATTTTTTCATAGTTTTCAGTATACAGGGTGCACGGGAAAGAAGCAATGAAAAAGAAAAACATATATATTAAACGTCAGTGTGTTTATCGCATTATGATTTTATATAGCTGGAAAAAAATGTTCAAAGCAGGTTAGTACACTTCTCTATATGAGCACCATTTTTAGCTTGAGCTATGTCTAGGCGTCATTTTTTCTCATTTCGACACATTCTAAAGCATCACTGGTGCGAGCAGACTCACTGTTCTATCGTCTCCGTAATTCGGGCACAAGCATTTGATTCACTCTTTCCCTTACAAGCCCACCAGCGGCCGAGCGGTAAAGTCGCTGAACACTGGTAGTTCGGTCCGAGGTTCGAATCCCGCGAACGGGCTGGCTGCATGGGCGTTTTCGTGGTTTTCCCCATGTGTAACGTGTATACGAGCCAGTTTCCCTTAGAAAGTCCTCCACGAAGGCATCCCTCCTCTTAGGCAGATAGCCCTCGAGGCTTTGCCATACTCACACACACACACACACACTTTCCCTTACAAACTGCCACAGAAAGCAATCTAAAGTGGTTAAGTTTCCTTCCGCGCCTGTCTTTTGAATCCCAAAAACTAAGTTCTTTCCAACTTTGTAAACCACAATGCGATAACTACACTGATTTCGGATATATGTATGGCTCTTTCTCATTACGTTTTTCTTAGACTCTCAGTACTCTCTTAAGCAGTAAAACTGCCGTTTCTCTACCAGAGATCCAAGGAGGTCCTATATTTTCAAAGAAATCTGGAAATGATCCCTTTCAACTGATACCGAGGACAAAAAGAATAGCTTGTGGCATTCAAAACACAGTGCCGATGCATTTCTGCTACTGAATAAGAAGGTACATGCATAACTCCTCGAAGGATTTTTAATATTTTAATGCTGAAATTAACGCCAATATAACACTGAAAATAATTACTACCAAAGTTGTAAACTTCATCTTTACTTGTTTTGTTAAATGTAACTGAGTTCTTAAGCAGGAATCAAATTAAGAGATGTGAAAAGAAAGTATCTGCTTTCTAATTCTAAACTAGTATAACTGGAACCATGAAGGAACAGGCAGTTTTTCAATCTTTCCTGAACGCCTACCAACATTATGAAACCGTTTTCCAAATTTTTAAACATGCCTCGAGCTCTGTTTTATACAAGAATTTAAATAAAATTTAAATTAAATGAAAGTAGACTATGCAAACTTTATTTAATATACAGCAAAGATATTTAGTGTCTACCTTAAATGCTCTCCAATGCAAAAATATTTTTAATGATACAGTATATTTAGGATACATTATAAGATTACATCTGTATTTTGAGTTACATAAACATACCTATTGCTTAATCTTTCATGGATATCATTGCTTCCAATTCTGTACAGAATGAACGCAATAGTTGTTGCGTTCTTCTATTCTTCTGACACTAGTTGTTGCATTATTTTTTCTTCCTTCACGTTCGTACGGGGTTCGTATGGATTTGGAGTGAATAACGACGACACTACTTGATGAAGTATCGAAACACACTTTATTGGCCAGTATTGTCAGGACAGATCCAAACACGTTCACAGTCGTCGATGAACTACTATAAACACACTGACACGATCAGCGACACAGCCTCCAGGTTATCAGGCTATCACGGTGGAGACAGCTTCACGGCAAAGCACTAAAGTACAGCTCCCGACTCTGGTTGGTCGTTCTCGGAACTTCATGTACTCTCGAGACTCTCCACGCTACAACTCGCGATGCACTCGACGACACTCAGAGCACAGCTCGCGACTCTTCGGTTCAGTCGTTCCCGGAGCTCAACACGCTCTCTCGACGATGCCACTAACCGCGATACACTAACAGACTCCTTCGGTGAACTCGACGACCCACTCGGCATTCGCTGCCCAGCTGTCAACGATCGACCCCGCAGGGATTCACTCGCTAGACGAGACACCAATTCAATACTGACTATCTCGCACTCTAGACGAGGCACTCTCACTCGCCCTCTCGACGAGGCACACTCTCAATGACTGACTACCAGCTCGGTAGACGAGGCACACACAATCTCGCACTCGACGAGGAACACTCACTGACTCTCCGCGTACCAGTAGGGTTTATATAGTTTTTGGCTTGTCTTCGAGAACATTCTGGGCTAAACCGGTAAGAATTCGTTCCAGAAGGTTCTCCATCCGTCCATGGCATATTGCCAATTTTGTCGCCAAATGGGTGATTTCTCGCCAAATGTGGCAACCCTGTCTTACCTTGCTATTTTATGGCAACCCTTAACCTACTTTGCGGGAAAGCTATCTCACAGCGCTTGTACATTTCGTAACAATATCATTACTTCCAATTCTGTACAGAATGAACGCAGCAGAGAATGATGTACCAATTATCATCAAAGAAATTTAAAAGTTTGTTGAATAACTGTTTACGGTAAAGCCCGCAAAGGCTATCTCTAAGACCAGACAGGATAGGTGTGCTTTCTTGGAGGACTTTGATTCAGAACATACATTTTCGAACTAACTCGCACTATATTCGCCGCGAATGATGGCACTTAAAAAATAAAGGCAATACTTTTAAGGTGTTAGGTTATTTTAACTTTTGTTATATATATATCTTACTTATATTAGGTATTTAGATAAGAAATTGAAAAATATATTATTCATTCATTACCTCATAATCATCTGCTTTTTCAATCTTCACTGTTTGGTGATTGTAACGAATATGACGAAGGCAGTCAAACTTAGTTGCCAAAGTTTTTATGTACTCATACATTAAAGTATGGTGCATATAATTGGGGTATTCTGCTGGTGGTGGACAATCACTAGCAGCTCCTAGTTCTTTGCTGGTGTTGATGATTGTTGTCTTCATTACAGAAGCAAGGCCGTCGACATCATCATCATGATACCTCCACAACCCTCCCAAATGGTCTGTTCTTTCAAAGCAAACTGGTTCTAGGCCTTCCTCTTTTAGCGCCTTTACGGCTCCTAAACCGCAAGGTCCAGCTCCTATGACTGCAACTCGTTTTGCTTCAGACATGATTAAGTCTGAAATGAAACAATGAAAAGCTCAATAGAAAATACACAAAATATCACAGTACATAATACAAATCAATAATGAACATTTTCGCATTACACTTTCACCTTGAAGGAATAACTATCAAGGCAGAGTTTATTTTCATAATCTATAAGTTGGAAAGGATATAAACAAAAATTTTCTTTCATGTGAATGCTTTTAGTTACAGTTTGCAAAATTTCTTATATAAGCTCATTTTCTAAACCCATGCGGTAAAACGTTATGAGTGAAAGCATTTATAGTCTCCTACGGCACTATCTCTTAAAATGCGACTTTTCAAAGCAGCTGTAAAAAGTATCTGTACTTATATTTTATAGCTCAACTGCCTTAGTAGAAGTCGCCAAATATCCTAAACGCGCCAAACTCTGCTAAACATGCGTATGACAGTTCTTCGGTTTTAATAAGCAATGTTGCTATTTTCATATCTGTTCTTATTGCAGTATTATAAGTTTCACCGCTTATATAAACAAATACTAATATTTTTTTTGTCTTAATCGCAATTTTAAAATTTGCGGTCGTAGGTCTTGTCTGCAGTGGTAGAAATAAGAATAAAATTTCTTCACCAGGGTTGCGTTTTGCCGCAAAATAGCTAATATGAGCAATTGCTCTTGAATCTACTCTTAAAGCGATTGCCATAAAATTTTCCACCAGAATGAAACCATAAAAACCTCCTTATAAAGTAGTGTTTTGACAGATTTTTTCATGTAAAATAATAATAAGTACTCTTCTGTTATCGGGACCGGATTCAGAAACGTATATATTAAGACATAAGAAAACGTATATATGTATGGTTATATGTGTTCATGCATATATGTACGTACGCATATATGTGTGTATACACACACACAATATACGCACATACAAACATACACATCTGCATTGATACATACATACAAAAGTGCATGGATACAAACATACACAAGTGCATGGATACATACATACACAAGTGCATGGATACATACATACACATGTGCATGGGTACATACATACACATGTGCATGGGTACATACATACACATGTGCATGGGTACATACATACACATGTGCATGGGTACATACATACACATGTGCATGGGTACATACATACACATGTGCATAGATACATACATACACCTCTGAATCCGGTCCCGATAGCAGAAAATTACCTAATAGTAATTACACATAATAAATGTACGCATGCATTAATTTTTTCCCCAATTATGAGCCATCATTCTTAGTCTTCTATAAAAAAGTCGCCAAATTGCGCAAAAGTGGTTGTGCTAATGAGTTCCAGTTATCACTGATAAAGCAAAGAAAAGTAAACACATTTACAGCCACTGCACAAGGTAATGAGTTGATTAAATCGATTCAACAGTTTTTTTATACTGTTTCTTCGTCAACCAGAACATATAGAGTGAAATCCCGGTTATTTATCTCCGATTTTTGCCAGACCCTGTCTAAAAGAAAAGTAAGAGTTTATTTAATTACCTTACCGAACGGTAAATATAATTGCTATCAGAACCCATCAGCGTCAAATAAAACTGTCTGCGGAAAATCGGAAAATACATGCAAAAGTCTGCCTTCCCCTAGGGCACATACCCTTGTGTGCTTTGCTATATTCAAATTACCAACCTCAACTATATTATAAACATGTTATTTACTGTAACTATGAATTGCGAACAATGCATTGTGAAAAGTATAGCAATCTTGCATTCACAAATAATTTTTTTAACTGCATCATAGCAATATATAAAATGAATTGTAACCTTCATGTGCAAATTAAATTAAGAGTAATTGTTATGATCTCGGAACAGTATATTGAGCTGAACCGTACGCTAGTGTTGCAGTATTAATTATACTTCACAGTGTAATTAGCAAAATTTTTTATAGAATAGGTACTGTTAAAGGAACCTTATAAATGAATCACTATATTATAATTAGTTGTAACATTATTTGAGAATTCATTCTGTCGTGGATGTCGTCAGCAGCTGCTCATCGATACTACTGTTGACAGAACTCACTGAGACAGAATGCCTCTACATATTGACTAGCTGCCCTGTTGATAGAGAAATGTGAAATGTTCACTTAAAATACAAAAAGGAAAGTGCGTGGGCTAAAAGCAGTGACAGCAGATGATGTCAGAGTAATTGAAAATTGTTTTTATCCACAATATTTGAATTAATTCGTAATTTGGAATATATAAACAAATTATATTAAATCCTCTACTGAAAGTAAATTGCTCAATTTTAAAAATACAGACTTTAATTTTCTCTTTCACATTGACTCCTATCGAAATATAAATACTGGTTGAAGTAAGGCCGGCACCTGTGCATCCATTTACGCATATTAGTATCGCTGGACCTTATTAACTGCCAAGCTTCCGCCCCACACTGCCAAGCTTCCGACAGACACAGCTATAAGAAAAGTTAGCGGTTGTCGGCCAAGGAAAGCAACGGTGACTGATGACTGATATATCACTTTGCAGGCGAAAAGAGATCGAAACCAAACAGAGAGCAACATCGCTCAGCAGTTGCGTACGGCGACCGGATGAGAGGTGTTCCATTTTGTGACCAGATGACTTCACATGGTCTGCTGGCCCGCCGTCGTGTACGCTGTATACAATTGACAGTAGTCTGAAAACGATTCTTGGCGCTGGTTGCCATGAACAGAAGTGAGGACGCGCTTTCATTCCAATAACGTCAGGAAAAGAGACCGTTTGGGTTGTCCTGGCGTGCTTGTATGGGAAGGCATAATGACGAACGGTAGGGCGGAGGTTTTCGACACAGGTTTACTTACCGGAGATCGTTACCGTAATGAAGTTATTCTCTCCCACATGCGCCTTTTCTGGAGTGTCATTGGTCTCGACCATGACAATGTGCGGTATGGGTTGGCCTGCGTACTACCCTGGTACCTTTAATTCCAATGAACATGCGTGTGTTACTTGAGGGAGGTGTCTTGCGGCATGATGTTACTCTCTGGAAAACACCAGAAAACTGATGCTCTTTGAGGAAAGGGAACTCTTACCCCAAGAATTGGAAGAAAATTTGGTGCTGAGTATCGACAGACAGTGGAACACAATCATTGCAATTAGGTGGAGGTCATATCTCTTACTAAGGCTCTTTGGTTTGTAGTTCTCTGTCTTATCCAGTTAGGTTTTTTTATACCAACATCATTGTGTGAATAAAACCTTTTCCTATTTGTTCCGTACTGTATACGTCCTATTCATTTTTTTGCTACTATACTTTCCTCATTATTTAAGTAGCAATTTGTGCTTCTGTAGTATGAATTTCTTGTCTCCCAGTTGAAGTTTGCTGGAATTAAGGCAAAAATCGGGAGAACTGCTTAAGTTTTGTAAGTAAATTGTTAATAATATTTTTCTGTTGATTATAATGTGGGTTATTTCTCTTTCCTATACTTTTTAAGCGTCCTTGCATTAAATAAGATCTTGAATTAACTGAGGACGCCATCTTCACTTATCCGGTTAATTGCTTCTGTTTTGGATTGGTTTTATTAATTATGGCAAAGCACTCGAGGGCTATCTGTCTAAGGGAAGGGGTGCCTTCGTGAAAGAATTTCTAAGGGAAACTGGATCGCACCCGCAATACAAAGGGAAAAAGTCACGAAAACGTTCATGCAGCCAGCCTTGTAATGTATTTTGCAGTAACTGACAAAACAGATAATCTTCTTAGTAAAACATAAATTTTATTTTTAGTTTACGGAGATAGATAATTTGTATACAATTCTTAAGTGGCAAAATTTTCATACATCTACTAGCTGGTCAAACTTCAGAATAACAATTTTCAAACAATTTCTTCTGTTGCTGAGCAACAGTTACATCATACAAATATGACTTCAATAATTAATACAGTTATTTGTTAAATAACAAGATATTACAACCTGTTCGCAGGGATTCGTAAGGTCTAAGCACCAGTGTTTAGCGGCTGGCCACTGGTGGGGCCCGGTTAATCGAGAGTTAATTTAACAAAAGCTGAGCATAACGACACTTAAAGGTAAGGAGGGTTCTAAAAGACATTACGCAGCACCATCTATGAGGAAAAGAAAGGAAGCAACTTAGGAAGGAGAAAGCTACTGAGGAAAACAGAAAAAAAAAAAAAAAAATCGAATAACAAATTAAGCTACTCAAAATCAGGAAAAGTGTGATACGAATTCAAATAATAAAGAAAATAAGGAAAAATTTTATGACAAGAGAAAGCTTCGAAGAAATTAAATTTGTCAAATTAAAATATGTTTTGAATAATTTCAGCAGAAGAAAATTTTAGCAGATAATTAAGAGATCCAACAATATGAACCAAACCCAAGTTTCTCACGAGTTTGATGCAACAATTTAAAAACTGTCTGGTTTGATTATTTTTTAATAAGCCAAGTTAATTGGTGGAAAATGATGCCATGATTTCTTTAAAAATTCATACTTAGATTTGGATCTATAAAGGCATAACTGTGTTAGTAGTGAATAGATTAAAAAGTAGTTTTCAATTAAATTTATGCAAAATATTCGTGAAGTAATTAATAAAAGGAAGGAAAGGAATAGCAATCAAATTACTACGATCAACATGGAAAAGAAGTTTTCTTTCTTCTTCTTTTTTTTTTTAATAGCAAGAGGACAAATGCCTTTTTTATAACAAGCAGAATTTAATTCCTAGCTCATGTTCAAACATTCTCTCAAAAGTTTTAATGATTTAAGTAAAAATTTAAATGCCTTTTTGAAGAGCCTTTTCGTAATTTAGTGAGCAAATCATAATCATATAACATATACTTCTTACATATATATCAGCTGACATATAATAAATTACGCTATTATGAACAGCATTATTAAGAACATATAAAATTTAAAGTCAAAGATTTAAAAAACAACATACTATTTCTACAAAAAATATTATTTTTAAACATAATGTTTTAAAATTTAAAAAACAATTAACAGTTTAACAAATAATATATTTTATACGACAAATGGTAATATTTGACATCAATACAATTTTTTTTATATCTTACATAAAAAGATTACCTTAAAATTATATAAGAAAACACAAATCACTTTAAGGCAACCTATTAAAGCTGTTAAAATTTAGCATACTGTTTTTCCATCTTTAAAAAGCAAACTAAGAAGATGACGCATATTTGCTGAAATAATTTATGATTTAATTTTAGATAAAATTAGTAATAGAATTTTAATAAGTAAATATATTTCAATCTATTTTAAGCGACTCAGATTTAGTAAGAAGATACATTACTAGTTTCTTTGTTTCCCGTAAGTGTTCTTTTCTTGTGCATTCACGCATATCACAAAAATGAACAGGGAAATTAAGAATCGTCTAAATAACAGCCCTTTATCAAGGATCAAAGTACACAACAAGATATAAAAAAATTTATCAGAAAGATTAGATATATTCATATTTTTATTAGCCTACTCATTATGCAAACTTTATCATGACACTAAATTTAGGCAATATAAAAGGAAATACATAAAAAAAAAATAATTTTTTAGGAATTTGAGCTTTACGTTATGTAAAAAAAAAAAAAAAAAAAAAAAAAAAAAAAAAAAAAAAGAAAAAAAAAAAAAAAAAGGCATAATGATAAGACACGTATAAATGTTCTATTTTTAGTAATAAATATCGTACAATTAGCGTGAGTATCCTATAACAGGACTTAAAATTGCATTATTTTATTTGTTTATTAATTAAATCTGACACACTTCAATTATTTGATCACGCCAAAGTGTACTAGGATTATCTGTTTAAAGGAAAGCATGCCTTCGTACAGATCTTTCTAAGGAAAACTGACTTGTGTTTAAGTTACGCACAGGAAAAACCATGAAGCAGCACATGTAATCAGTCCATTAGCTAGGATTCGAATCCAATGTCGAACTATCAGAGTTCAGTGGGCTTATCCACTCCGGCACTAACGTATTTAAAGCAAATGAAAAAGTTAGCTTCATGTCGGTTTATTTTAAAGAAAGAAACAGCAAGAAAAGTAGCCATTATTGAAACCTAATGCATAAAAAACTAAGTAGCTACATTCTGAAATGAAAAGCAGTAATCTTTTCTAAGGAAAAGGATTTTTAAGATCGATCCACATTTAAGGCAACATATACATATTTATATAAGCAAGCACTTTTTTTTTAACCATACAGTTCAATTTTATTTACATTTCATAAAAAGCAAGACTAGATAACAGAAAAGAATAAAAATTAAATTCAAGTCATTGGAAGAAGTAATAAGAAAGAGACTGAGCGATTAAGTTGTTATTCTTCATCAGAAAGCAGACAACAGTTTTATCACAATCTGCCACTTTTCCAAATTCATTTTTGATTAATTTTCTAAAAATTAAGCTAATAAGAAATAATTACAGAATTTCTTAATCAGAAATGAATCTGTCTAGAATCAAAAAATGCCAGTTTTTTAAAACAAAAGAAAACAATAATAATAGTAAGAAATAAAATAATTGGTAGCAATATCTAATTAAAAGTACTAAGTAAAACCTTTCAGCTAGACCAAAATTTCAACTACTAAAATCAAAGTGCACAACTATATCCTGAAGCTATTTTAAAACAAAAATACCTTAAACATAATTAAAACACAACAGAGTTATGCAAAACGCAAGTACAAATTCATCATTATAAAAACATATCAAAGTAAGAAAATGAAGAAAAACTAAAAATTTATTTTTTACTTTTACCGAAACTCTCAATTATCAAGTCAGAACGGAGAAGGTAAACTTTTGCGAAGTCGAGTTACAAAGAAAAAATATATAGTACAGTAAAATGGCAACAGTTTACTTTCTCTATATTGGCTGTATAGTTTAGAGCTTTGGTACGTTAAAAAACTTCGGTCTTCATGTTCTTTTTTTTTTTAATTTTTATTTAGTTTGATAATTTGACATTTTTTACAATGAATTTTTATTTGTGTTCAGCATAATTTTGCTCTATTTATAACCTCGCTAAAGGTATTTATTAATTTTGTTTTAAACACAGAATGAGGCGATAGAGCTTCTTTAGTTTTCTTTGGTCAGTATTACACTTTGATGATATCAGTTTAATTGAAACTTGTACTGGTTCTTATACTGGAAGTTCTAACCTGGTACCTTTAATTACTACTGCTGCCAATTACTTACTTTGTTTTGTTTTAGAAAACATTTTTGCGACTAAAGTGCCATGTTCCTCTCGATTTCCCATGATGTCTTTGTTTGAAATTTCAGGGCAGGTTTATTTCTGGTTGCAAATTTTGGAAATTATTGCTTATGCGATTAAAACTCCAAGTAAAAAAAAAAAAAAAATGGTGAAAAGTAATCAAAATTCATACATAAATGGGTTGCTTGCTCCCTGATGACGAATAGCAACTTTAGCTTTCCATCTCTTTCTTATTATTCGGCCCACCAGCGGCCGAGCGGTAAAGTCGCTGAACACTGGTAGTTCGGTCCGAGGTTCGAATCCCGCGAACGGGCTGGCTGCATGGGCGTTTTCGTGGTTTTCCCCATGTGTAACGTGTATACGAGCCAGTTTCCCTTAGAAAGTCCTCCACGAAAGGCATCCCTCCCCTTAGGCAGATAGCCCTCGTGTGCTTTGCCATAATTAAATACACACATTTTCTTATTATTCCTTCCAATACTTTTAAGTGAGTTTCAGTCTTTTCTTTTCCTTTTGTTTTTGCTATCTAGGCTTGCTCTCCATGTAAAACTAAAGTAAACTAAACTAACTACCTGTACTTCCAAAGTAAACTAACTTTCGGTAAATAAAATTTAAAAATTTCTAAAAACACAAGACAAAAACTTCCACATTTTTCTATAGCAGCAATTAGCGCGCAATTAATGAAAGGAAAAATTCACTTGTTTTCTTCTATTTCCTGAATTATGTATATATGTATCTATTTAATATTAGATTATTAAGTATATTACCTCCTCGGAAATAAAGTAATTAAATTAGAATTCTATTGTAATGAATTTACTTATTAACATATTTAAAACTGACCAGTTAAAATTGAATAATTAAATGCGAAAGTGCAACCACCAAACTAAGTAATTATCGTTCTTGACCGGAAATTAGTTGACGTTTCATGGGAAATAAACTAATTTCTGATCAATTAAACAATAATTAATAGATGCGAAAGTGTTTCGTCTTTTTCGTTCGTTTTTCTTTCTTAATTTATCAGAAATTAACTTGTTCCCCTTGAAAAGTAAACTAACTTCCGGTTAATAACGATAATTACTTAGCTTGTTAGTTGCACTTTCGCATTTAATTATTCAAGTATTTAATTATTAAACATGCTAATGAGTAAATTTATTATAATAGAATTCTAACTACACTACTTTATTTTCCAAGGAGATAATATATTCAATAATCTGCTATTTTCTAGTAAAAACATTAGGCTAATCTTTGGAATATGGTAACAGGTAGATTGGCGACATTTTGGTAAGGCGATAAAGGTTACTAGCTAGGACTTAAACAGTGTACATGGATAAAGTCAAGAGTGTGCGCAATGCCATTTTTGTGCAATTCTGGAATTTTTTTTAAGTGAAAATAGGTCGACGTGTACATGGATACCGTGTTTGTGCAATTCTTAAAAACGCGGCAAGCAGTTTGCGATTCTGCACTTTCTCCCAATTTCGCACCTAATCTTCGTCATGATTAAGCACTTTTGTTCCATAAAAGTTCTAGGATAAGCGTAATTCGGCTAGCAGATTGTTGGAAAAAAAATGTTGAGTAAAAGAAAAAAAAAAAAAAAATGCCTTTACTTCGTGAAAACAAAATGGCGTCCAAACAAAAACTAGCAGATTGCTGTAGCAGGGTTGGTCGCCAAATTTTCGCCAAAAAATCGCCAAGTTACCATAATCCAAAGATTAACCAAAAATTATTTTATTACTTAGAAGCTTTCGCGCAAATAATAGGCAATTTATTCTAATAAATACCTTGTTTATTTATTTGTATAATCCTACGAAAATTTTTTTGCAACAAAAGTATCCGAATATATATATATATATATATATGCAAGATGGAGAATACCTATATTAAAATTTAAATATTAAGTCTAATTTTTCAGTTTAGTTATTTCACCTTTTTGCTTCCTTGTACGAAGTATTGTAATTGCCCAAAATTTCGGATATCATATTTCAACGAAAATATCCATTTTGACCGCTCTCCAATCCATGTGAACGATGTTTTTGCTCGACATGTGCATTTACGGACACTTTTTTCCATAACTAACTATAAAATGGATTCAGAAGAGAACTTTTCGTGACGTCGGTACGTATCTCGCATAACTCAAAAACGATTAGCCGTAGAACATTGAATTTTTGTATATGGGACTGCTATAACATGGAATTGTGCACCTCCCGTTTTCGTCGAAATCGGCCACACCAAACATATTTACAATTTATTTACTAGTAGATTATTGAATATATTATCTCCTATACCCACTTTGTTATCCCGCTCAGACAACTCAGTTTTTTTATTCTTATGTGGTGGTGAATTGTGCATTTTTTGCTTTAAAAGTGATTGAATTACGTTGTTCTTATGTTTCTGTTAAGGTTTTTACGCCTTTAGTTAATCTGCAAGCAGTAGTTGTAGAATTATCAACAATTTAAAAGCTTAAGTGGCACTAGGCCTAACGAGGTTACCATTTGTTTACATTTGAAACTTGGTATAATGGCGAATTAAGTCAATTGGTACACGAACTTTAGTGTCTTTTCCCTCAGTGGGACCAAAACGTAACTTTCAGTTTTGCGCACCGAAAATTTCATCTTCCTGTCCGCTGGCCGAATTGTTTGTTTTTGCTTGGAAACTAATTTTAATTGTAAAAATTGTTTCTTTTAATAGTCTTTAACTGAATTTGGTGTTTTATGTTTTTCTGCGTTTTACAATTTTTAATGAAGATGTTTTGAGTTTTTATGTATTTTTGCCTTGCCGCGAAGTGAATTAACTAAATGAGAAATATGAATGAAATGAAATGAATGAAATTCAAGGAAATAAGTTTAAATGAAATGCAGCAAAAAATGTGTGTAATTTAATAGGTTGTACAAGGAAGTCGTGTGGTGTCCATATCAGATATCCTATCCTGAAAAATATAACAGGCTTAGAATAAATCTCTTTAACTAAAATCTTAATTAGCCAATAGGAATAAAATCAAACTATAGATGTGTAG